GGGTCCTCCCAACCTGTCCGCCCGCGGTGAGATCAGGGTAGTCGGTCTCTCCCGTCTGCCATAAGGGGAGGCCTGATTTTTTGGGAGATTTTGGGGGGCCTCTCCTCGGCCGGAGGGGTGCTCGCTCTGGCAGTGAGACTTGGCTTGCTACGAGGCTGGGCGCTGAGACGGGAGCTGAGGTTGCTGAAGCTGAGGTTGGGGCAGCTAGGGGAACTACTGCTGATACTGATACTGGGAGACCTGGTGCAGTACGTGCCATTGATAGAGCTGAAGTTGTTGGAACTGTTGCATTTGAGCCTGCATGGCCCTCATGCACTGCATCAGGTCCTCCAGCTAGTTCGGGCTGGCCGCTGGGGGCACGACTGAAGGTTCGGTGAACGTCGTTCCGACTGTAGTAGGGAGTGGGGCGATGAGAGGCACGTTCAAGCTGGGGATTCCGTCCGCTGAGAGGGGGATGATGAACTGTCCGATACAGACAGTAGGAAGCTGGGGTTGTTCCCTGGAGTTATCCATTTTCGTGCTTCGTCCGACGTTGCTAGAGGAAGCCATGAGCATTGGATTGTTTCAAGGAGGAAAAAAAACTAAAAGAGTTTAGAGAGAAAGGCTTTTTGAAGCGCTTCCCACAGACGGCACCAAATGATGTAGCACAATCCGGTCACTCCTAGCTGGCGCTTGCGTGGCTCCTGAGATGTACCTGAAACGAGAGGAAGGAGGAAGAACTCCCGGGGGGTTTCTCGACGGGAACGCTCCAATGCTTAAGTTAGTATTGTGTGCAAGAAGCTGAAAGAGAATGAACACTAAGAGTGCAGGTTGCGCTAGTTACTCAAGATACCTTGTTCCTTGAGAATAAGCTCCTTGTAACTGAATTCCGTTGCTCCAGGCCCTCTGACTTCTGACAGGGCAGGTATAACCGCCACTGTCAGCCTGCCACAACCGTTATAGGCAGGGCTGAGGTGGCACGCGCGGGGCCATCGTGCAGGGTACGTGTCTGTCAGGTGTGGGACGCCTTTCTAAAGGTGGCAGGCGCGGCGAGGGGACATGCCTGCTATTCGCAGGTTTGTCGGGTATGGCGGTCGGGTAGGAAGCCCTCCTATGGTATACTGAGCTGTCCTCCTGCGAATTACCCTAAGCTGGGTTGTCCTTTAAGTGGCGGGCTGCCTGCAGCCGGTTATGCCGAGCTTGCCGACCCGAGGTCTTTGTGCCTCAGGGCGTCCAAAGAAGAATCGGTGCGTTCTTGCTTGGGAGTGGCCTGAGGTCCATTGGGAGGAGCTCGGGTCTCAAAAGGGGTCAGGGGTCCCGAACTCGGGACCCCCTGAAGTGCCTTAACCCCGGGGAGGAGGTGCGGGCGAGGCAACTTTCGGCGAGTAGTTTACTTGCCGAGTTGCCATGCTGAACTCGGTGAGACTTCCCCACCGAGTCGTGCCCACGTCCGTTGTGCTGTCATGCTGAGTCACTGTTTGAGCAAGGTCACGCCCACATGTACCTGAGCTACGAGGTCGGGCCAAATCACCCTCCATCAGTAGTGATTAATATTAACATAATAGAAGTAAGTGGATCAATCAAGTAGCCGAACTCTAAGGAAAAATCATTATTGATGGTCCACGACCATACATATTGATAGATAGAACTGCCATTTATTTGCTGAATAGCCAGATTGGCTGAAAAAAATCGTAACTATACATAACAATAAAACACTGGGAAAAGCCCACATACGACGAAGTTTTTTTGTTATCATCGGAACAAAGAGAAGTCCCACTCTTATTAACATAGGAAATGGAAGTGGAACGAAAGGCACCCAATAGATAAAGTTTTTCCGAATTAGTGTAGAGGCAAACCTGTAGCCAACCTGTTTCCTTGACATCCCTAGGCTAAAGTTTAGTTGTTTTAATACAGCCAATTTAAATTTTTAGGGGTGCTAAACCAATCCACTTGTCATTTTGATTTTTTGTGTGGAAGGTAGGGTTGTTAACATATTTCATAAGTTTGACATTTGATCTAACATCCGATTTGATCAATCCCCTCAACCTGGGTAAAGGTGGATTCAAAATCTATATAGTCACCACCACATTTAAGGATTAGTATTGATATCAAGTACAACTTGGATACAGCTATGGATACATTTTGGAAATGCATGGCTATGAATGAAATATATAAAAATACTTAAATATGCTAGAAAAATATTTATAAATTCTGTAAATACATAATAGTACTAAATTTAAGGTCAAAATTGTTATGAATTAATTAAGGTTTAAATACATAATAAATATATATTTTAATGAGAGATATAAAGAAATATATTACAACTAATATATAAGGAAGTATGGATATAATACAATTTTGTTGATAATTCATCATTCAAGAGTCCAAAATACATCATATAAATTTTTACAAATTAATATATGAACAAAGCCATTATTATCTTATATTCTATTTAAATCCAAAGCACAAAACATATGTAATTATTATATTTTAATTATTCTATCAATTATGTTCTATTTTACTATTTTTACTTTTCAAATTTTAACATTAAAAAAATTCAACTACATATTAAATTTTCAAATGTTTGGTAAACAATATTTTTATTTTTGTAACAATAAATATGTTAGAATCAAATATAAATTAAAATATCAATTAATATTTTATAAAAATATATAACCTTGATGTATAAATTCAAATATTTCATAAAATATCATAAAGCTGCATTTGTTTGATGTATAAATTCAAATTTTACACCATGAAAAATGTGAACCGATTAAAAATTAGGACGGTTGATTTTAAAATTTTACACAGATCATGTTTGGTTTTATATGGTGTAAATTTTCAAACTGGTGTCGACGGAAATTGGATCTCGATGGAAAAAGGTGAACATGCAATGCTTACGCTGATAGGCATGAGCGAGCAACGGCCATAGATACCCTACGCCTGAAGCATCGAGTACAACTCGGCCTTACCATCAAGTTTGCAAAGGACGACCAGTACATACGAATCAGACGGAAATTGCTGATGGCTGGTTATCCACCCAGCATATCAGACCCTGAATTTATATTTAAACACGGGAGGCAAACCCGGAGGATGGTAAAGAATAAAGAGAAGAATCAGGGATTTCGACCATCGGTGTTTTGGGCTTGATACCGGGCCATTGACGGAAGAGACAGTGTTGACCATCCTAGATCTGTTTATAGACGGAAGCAACGTGCATTCCGCAACCACCCCATGTGGTCTTCTCACACGACGAACACCTCACAGAGTAACACATCTTCTACTCTCCTCTGCAACTCCTGACCTTGTGTTAATTTGTTTCAGAGATTTCTTAATTTGTTGAGTTTGCTTCTTAAAAGCTGATCTGAGAGACGATGCCTTCACTTGGGATCTCTTGCTTTTTGCGACGGACTCGGCGAAATTGAAGAGATGGATGGCCCCTTCTCTACAAATTTCCGAGAAACAAGATTCTCTGATTGACTAGGAGGTGGAGAAGACGTCTACGTGTGGGTTGGTAACTCGGAGACTTAATGCCCCGGCCAGTGCGCCTGGTAGGGACGGTGACCAACCCATTCAACAGCTAGTGGTTTCTTTCAAGGGCCACCGAGCGTGCCATCAGAGGCCGTGCGCCAATCCACCCATTTCAGAGGACCAACCCCGGTAGGGACGGTGACCAACCCTTCTCCGCTTCTTCACTTGACCGAGAGGAAAAGTGGATCCTCTACTACATGTGACTCTGGTCGCAGACTTCGGCTAGTCTAAGAAGAGGAGGGGAGATGAAGCGAACAAGGGAGAGAACAGATCTTATCGATGTAACCGTTGGACAAAGACATGCAGTCAGAGACGCGGGTAACCGCTGGACAGAGGAAGGTAAAATTTTAAAACTTTCCACTAATTTTCGGTGAATATACCGATAAGAATGGAATTTTACACCGATATCAAATAACAGCAAAATCGAACTGGTATGTAAAATTTACTCAATTCGATTTTACACCTCTACCAAATACAGCCTAAAGGGAAAAACAAAAGTGAAAGAAATTATTATCATAGAAATACTTGAATTGTCTTTACATCTGGCTCATTGATTGCCCCGTTTTAATCCTCTTCAACTTCTGCAACTCATCCCCCAGTGGAAAAGTCTGACTTGCTGGAAGCCGCCCATTAGCTTCAGATATGAAATCGATACCGAGACAACATGACTAACAGAAGATGCAACTCATCCCTTGATCGGAAAGTCTGATTGTGGTCTACGGATTATTGTTTAATGTTGCAAAGTCCCGGTGGCATCTCATAGGCTGTTTTGTATCACATCAACAACCAGCCTTCGATCATCCACTGCTTAAAGGACCGACCGAACTGGTCAGAGGTCCAATTACTGGGTCAAACGGTCCGATCATTTGAACCAAATGATCGGCCTGTTCTGACAAAAAATTAAAAAAATAAAAAGTCAAAACTCTTGAATGGTTCAACTGCCTGGGTCAGCAGTTTATTGATCAAATCAATGTTTTTTGCAAAAATTTGGTGTTGGGGAAAAATGAAATTGGTCATCTAACCGATTCTTAATTTTTCTGGTTCAACTATCCAGTCCGGTCCGATTTTGAAAATCATGATTGATAGTTCATAATTGAATTCTTTGAACAATAATTTGAATTTTCTTTCTTTTACATTTTTCTCTTTTTAACGGGTTTTTGAAGTCTTGGACTTGGGAGCTTTGGGAGTGGAATTTAGGAGACAAGAAGTTCTAAATGTTTCTTCTTTTTGTAGGATCCAACAGAGAGACAATTCTTGTGCATCTCCAAGAGAGAGCACCTTTTGTAGCATCAAGGCTCGATGGGGGCTGGCGTGGGTCACCTGCCTACGTACTTGAATCAAACTTTGTTGAACCAGAATTGTGCTTCATGCCTTCATCTTTTTACTTGTTCATGTCCATTGATTGTTAGTTTAACGTCTGCAATTGAATTTGGCAGCTTTGGGATTTCAGGGGAATTGTCCCACACAAATACAAACTTTGGTGACAGCTTCCCCTCAGATAAGGAATCCATAGGTGTGTGGTTGCAGAAGAGGCTGAGAGAGAGAAGGAAGCCTATGTTTGTAAGGGGGTGTTTGTTTTTTAAACTTTGAGAGGGAGAAAAGTTGGTCAATGGGATTTTGATTTTCATTGACTAAGAAACCTATATTTATTTTTTAGATTTATATAGGGACTAGTGAAAGTTTATTTTCCTAGGTATTATTTACCTAGATAAGTGATACCCATCTCGTAAGTGGATAAATTAACTTTCCCATTTAAAAGAACATTATCAATACTCGAAAATGGACAAAAATACCCCTTTTAATAAGTAATACCTAGAAAATACTTATCCAATAAGTACATTTACCCGGTAAGTGACTTACTGAAAAGGGAACGGGGCATAAGAAATGTTTTCAATGGTGCTTCCTGAATGAATGCATATCATATATGGCGTCACAGGTGCGATCATGTCTGATGCCCAGACGTCATTTTTTGCTCGCGGAGTTGCACAAGATGATTGCACTCCTCTTCTGTCGAGGTGCTGTTGTGAGTGACAGCCATCTGTCAGTTTATTGAGCATCTCAGCTTTCGAATTGAACTATTTGCCAAAGACTTACTCTTACTCTTAGGTTGTGTTTCGTTTGAAGGAAAAGGTAGGAAAAGAAAGAAAAAGGTGGAAAAACCTTTATAAACATCTATTGATGTGGGTCCACATTAGCGTGGGGAAATCAATCAAAATACATGGCCTTGATTTCAGGTTTTAGTCTAGGCTACGCCATGGGGGTAGTTTGTGCATATCAGCTACACTCGATATTTCAATTGGACATGTGGCAGTGTTTTTTAGGCCGAAGTTTATTCCATGAATAATTAATTGGAAAAGGAATATTGAAAATCCTTTTGAATCTTCAGTCCCAATGTTAATTGTCAAATGGAATATCTTTTCTTTTCTTTTCCTTCTTTTAGACTTGCCTAAACATTTCATTCTTATGAATCCGATTAGCTCATCAGGAAAATTTTAATTGTATATGCTTCATGTTTGTTTTGGAAACCAAAGAAAGCTTGAATGTCCGTATCAATTGATTGAATACTAGTCCAGCTTTCACCCATCAAAAACCACTTGATTTGTTCCATTTTTATGATACATGTTCATTGGTTACAAGTATTTCCACTATCATAGATGATAAATTTTGATGAAAATCCATTTGATTGATTACTTTTTTTAATTTGCAGATTGATTGGTGATAAGTTTTTTTCTGTATCATGTCTTTTTAACAAGGTTTTTAAAATTGAATTGGACAACGGATCAATTCTCAGGTCAAATAATTCGACCATTTGAATCAAATAGATGGCCCATTCTGACAAAAAAAAAATCACCAAATTGTAAAACAATTCAATTTCCCGAATCAACAATTTATTAATCAAATCAACGATTTTTGACCAAATAATAATTCTAGGGTAAAATGAAACCAACCACCTAATCAATTCCCGATTTTTTTAAATCCAACAGTCCGACCCAATCCGATTTTAAAAACCATGCTTTTTAATATCATATTTGAACCCTTTTTATTTATCAACAAATTGAAAGTATGAATTGGCTCCCTTTTTTTTTTTTTTTACTGGTGGAACACGCAAAGATTTACGAATGACAAAGGGTACAGACATGGAAAACCAATGGCCAACCGAAACAGTTAATCAAACACAGGAACCATCGGACTGCATGTTTCACTTTTCATGTTGATTCAAGTATTGCTTTAATTAATATTCCTCCCACTCTGATTCAACCAATGACATAAGCTAAGCTGCCTCATGATTAGGTCATCAGGAATTCTTACCTAGGTTGTTTGATAATAATTAATAGCTGATGTGAGCTATTGCTTTGTTATTGCTTTGTCTTTTAGTAAATAAAATAATTGAATTATAAAATAATCAATGGTATAATGATCAAACCGACTTCAGTTTTAACCATCAAGGAGTCCAATGACCAATACACCTCCTTAAAAGTTTATCACTAAAAATCAAAACAATAATAAGTTTGATCAGCTACTTCAGCTGTTATCAAACACCCCCTTATGAAAGGTCAGACTGTCCATATTAATTGTCTAAATGTTACTTTGCATAATTAATTTTAGTTTGAATGTTTACAAAATTAATACTCACTGCACCATGGAGGGTACCTGTCATGGTTCTTCCCACTTTCCTTTCCAGTGAAATTGCACTTCACATATTAATTTGTAATTTCTCCTAAAAGCTATTGATATACTCATACTACCAATTAATGACTCTAAGTCAAATCTTTGTTGAGGGTCTGGTTAAAATTAAATGAGTTAGAGCACAAAAGAGCCCAAACACAAAATTTAAAATAGACAATCGTCAACATAAGATACATAAATTAGTATTGCTACCAAAGAAAGGACACAGGGCAGCAAAGGAATTCTGATGGTGTCCAAGGCTGACAGGTTCGACCTGTATGTAAGAGAAGAATACACATTAGAGCCCCCGGGTATTATCTCAGGGTGGAGGTTTTGATGGTTAAATTAGCTAAGTGCCAAAGAGAGGTCGGACCAGGTTTGAGACGGGTTCAGAGCTTAGTCCTTAATAACTATGGAGAATTCTTTTGGGATTCTGAATGCAAGAGAGTATGTGTGAATAAGTGTGTAGGTAAGTGTCTTTACCTTGAGATGATCACCCCCTTTTATAAGTGATCTTGCCTTGGAGTGGTTGGAGGCAGTTGATGATGTGCGATCAGGATTTAATTTGATCGATACCACGTAACATAATCCGAGGCCTACCAAGTATATCTACATCAATTAGTTTTACCAATAGAAATAAAAGCAAATAACGGACAAGGAGATTTTGTTGCTCTGATTTCACATGACATCACATACAACAGTGGGAATAAGCAAAAGTTGTTCCTACTCAATTGTAAACACCCAAACGCTTTCCCTTCCAGCACCCTTCAAGGTTAGATAAAAACATATCGATTTTATCTTCATTAGAATACACTTCATCTTCATCTTTTCCTCTTGAGAAGAATTCTAAGAGGTGCAACAACGTAACTTGTTGAGATTTATTTATTAATATTCTAGAATATGAATCCCTCATTCCTTAGATTTGGCATCCTAGGAAGTGTGCTAGGCTAGAGAGAGATAGAGAAATTCCTCCATCGTGCAGCGATTCAAAACTTGTAAAAGTTACAATAGGGATTACAACCTCCAATAAACCAAAGAAACATATATGACTTGTATAGAGATGTTCCTTACCACTTCATCAACTAGTAATATCACCAAAGAGATTTTATTATATATGACAAAAATAGTAAAACCACTAAAATCCAAAAGAAACATACAACTTGTGAATTCTAGAAAGCTCGTGGTAGTCTCAAGAAAATGAGTCACCACCCACTGATATAGAACTGAGTTAGTGCGCACCCTCAAGTTGAAGAATCTCCAAAGAAACCTTCTGTGAGACTGTAGTAAAGTGGACTGAGAGAGAGAGAGAAAGTGAATTCCAAACTCCCATACTCTCTTCTACTAATTTTAAGGAGTGTAAATCAGCTCCTATTAAAATACTGAAAACAAAGTTTATAACTTTTCAATGTGGGACAAATTCAAAACTGGGTTTTGCAAGAAAAACAACTAATTTTTCAATCAAGTGTGCAGGTGCAATTTCTCATGTAATTGACCAATCAAACCCATTGGATTTAATCTCTTATGAGATTAAAATCCAACAGGTGCCCAACTGATCTAGAACTAAGTAGTGCTTAAAAGTTGCAGAAATGGAGCAGTGTGACTTCCATTGGGGGAATCATTTTGGCTAGTTGGATTAGAAATTTTTCATCAAAAGATTTCAGATGTGGGGAGCAAATTTTTATGCAATTTATAGGTATAAAATAAATAAAAAATAGTCAAATACAGCATGGTGATTATGTGGGTAATCTGAATTAAAACTGTTTTACTTGCTTCAATTTCACTTTCACATTCAACATGTAAATCCTTCAACACTTTCTTATTTTTTAGAACCTTGGAATATCTACAGAATTTGATGTCTTTCTTTCAGATTTATGAACAAGCATCAAATCAGATGGTTAATAAAAGTGACTGTACCATCTTTGTTTCAAAGAAATTGCCTCCTAGGCTGCATTTGGAAACGATGCAAATGGAGTGTAAATCCCGGTTCAGGGTAAATTTACACTCTGATTCACTTTTGCATGTGTTTGGCAACATTACATTTATGCATTGACAAATGACAGAACAATGCATATTTACATTGATAATAAGATGTAAAAGTGCATTAATAAAAAAAGAAGCAAATTTGCATTCAAGTGGGCTTTTGATAAAAAAAAAAAAAAAGAATATGCTTTATTGAAATTCATGTTTGCATCCATTACAGTTAAAAGTCTGTTTAGTAAGAGATAAATTTGTCAATGCAAAATTAACCCAATTTTACCATTTATATGAACCGTTTTACACTCTACATATATTTGTATTCACACTTATTTGTATCATTTCCAAACACAACCCTAGCAAAAATTTAAATGGTTGAGAAATGTATTGGCTTTGAGGACAAAACTTTCTTTTACAATACTTGATTTACCTATAACCAAAGGCAGAAATAGAAGTTTGCTCAGATACACATTATCCTAGACGAGTGAATACTGTTGCTCGTTTTCCACTCTCTTGACTCTTGTACTGTCACTTGGTCCTCTCCCCATCATTTTATATTTTTATTGATCATATCATGTAGAGGGATTGTAACTCAGTTTTGTTGAATGGATTTTGAAAAATGAATTAAAGGTAGAAGCTTGTATCTTGAGAATACAATTGACAAGATTGCGATAAAGGTAGTGAGGTGAAAGCGGAAGATTTTATCTCAAGGTAATAAGAGAGCTCTCATTCATAATGTGTTTGCAAGTATGTCGATTCACTTGCTATCGGCTATTGCTAACCCTAATATTGTGTTTGGTTTGAAGGAAAAAGTAAGGAAACCTTTATAAACCTTGTATAGGTTTCCTTATCTTTCCCTTCTTTTCCTTACCTTTTCCTTCAAACCAAACATAGTATAAAAAGTTGTAAATTAATAACTGTAGAAGTTGAGTTCATGGTAGAATATCTATTATTCCTAC